GCCAGCACGCCCCAGCCAAGAACCAGTTTTTCAAAGGCAGAAGGAAACTTTCCACAGCGTATCAGGAAAGAAGGGGAAGAAGTGAGAAGATCTGATGATGTCTATCTTTCAATGAGGTCCTCAGCTGAGAGTGAGGGTGGAGGTGGGGTGTGGGAGTTCTGAGAAACAGAGTTATTTTCTTCCTAGGCAGCATCCATTATGCCTTTGAGGTTTGGATCATAAATTTAAAGTAAAACCCATCAGCTCTGTTGTATAATTTTCTCAGCATTAATCTACTTGGGTGCAGGTCAGAGGAGGAGGATGGTGGATCATCCAGAGTGAGTGTGACAGAGACCAGGAAGAACCAAGGAGTTGAGGGTGTTGGTGAGGGGGAGATTTTAATGGTGGACTACAGGAAGTGAGGCCCAGGCACTGGGTGGGATACGCTACTCAGTCCCAGCTCTCACTCATGGGGCTCTAGTGAGGAGACAGATATGACTGAGATAATCACACAAATGCACATCTGTCTACATGTACCTACACATATGTATGTGTGCATTACATGTAAATGCCCATGTATGTGTAACTAGCACAACTGGCAGTGCCCCACCCATAATCCCTTGCGCCTTACCACTGCAGTACACCTGGCTGATTTCCAGCTGCCAGTGTCTGTATCTCTTTGCCTGAGAGCATGACAGGCCATTAGTACCAGGGAGTTAGTGCCTTCTGAGAACATTGTTTGGCCTGTAACTTAACAGGAATTGGTGCCTAAATACTCCAGGATGGGATAACCAAGGTGTGTGTTCCATGCTGGTTTCCCGGCAGGATGAAGCTCAGTGGTACCTGGTGGTAACTTGGGAACACTCTCTACTGGCTGCCTTTTCCTTGCCTCACTTCCCCCACTTTCTTTCTTTCTTTCTTTTTTTTTTTTTGGTGGGGAGGGGGCGGACGGAGAACAGAGTTTCGCTCTTGTTGCCCAGGCTGGAGTTACAGGTGTGAGCCACCATTGCCTGGCCTCACTTCCCCACTTTCTTACTGAGTGTTTTCTAGAACCACCTTTCAAATAAACTACTTGCTCTCAAATCCTTGCTTCAGGGGCTTCTCCTGGGGGGAATCCAAAGGAGGTATGCATAACTATAAACTGTGATGCACGCCATGAAGAAAAGTACAGGCTACTATTGTGTAGGGGGCGGACCTGCTCCAGTATGGGGTGGGAGCGTGGATGTCAGGGAAGGCGCAGAAGAGATCTATTAGCTGGGATCTAGAGGAGGAGCAGGGTGGAAAGAACTCGGGACAATGAGTGTGCGAAAGGCCACTGTGGGCTGCCACAGAGGACAGGGACATGGATGGAAGCTTACAAGATCAGACCCTGGAGGGTCTCACAGGACATGGTAAGGAATTTGGCATGTGTATTCAGCGAACACCGAGAAGCCATTAAGGGGACTGCAGCAGGACAGTGACAAGATTATACCTGCCTCTAACCATAAGTGGAGAAGGACTGGAGAGCCTTCATGGCTGGGACAGAGTTCATAGGGCCTTGCAACTATTAACCACCTATTTGACTGACCAGAACACTCTATTTTCTGGCCAAGCCAAAAAATATTTTCCCTTCATCAATGTTGCACTTTTTTCCCCCCTGGGCTGCTGCACTTAAAACTCTTATCAACCCTTCTCTTGGGGACAGCACCAGCAGGTTAACTCCCTTCTACTTGTTCTCATTCTCCACTTCCCTCATGCTCACGCTCTTCTCTCTCTCCTTCCCTTCTTCACCCCTTGGTCTCTCCTGTTTCTTCAAATTATCCTATTTAATAAAATTGATTATTTCTTTCAGTCTCCATTTGTCTCTGGACGTTGCAAGGCACTGCTGAGGTAGTCAGCGGAAACAGAATTACATTTTGTGAACAAGGTAATTTTAAAGTGGATCTTTAGTTAAATGCTGTCAAAATGCAAAAAAGAAAAATGTTCTCAAGCCCGTGGACTCCTTTGGTGATATTGCCACGTACATGTCCAGCATGCACTTGAACTTTTTATGAAAAAGAAATTCCATTCCAAAGGTGGTTTATGCAAAAAATTATGCATATGTGTGTGTTATTTGCAATTTGAAATCAAGAGACATTGAACATATTTTCAAGAGATTAAAAAAGTGGGGAAATTTTCAGAGATGACATACATCTGATCACCAAAGTGGTTTCACATGTGGTCACTGTAAATAAATTACTAGAGAACACACTAGAAACAGAGAATGACATATACCAGTCAGCAAAGTTGAATTTATGGTGCTGCAGAAAATAACATAAGACAGAGAACCAGGAAGGCTGAAACCCAGCCCATAAATTTATCTCCAAGGGTATGTTGTAAATAGTCACAATTGTACCTTTTTTCCTTTTGTGTTACTTTTTATAAAAATCTTGACATCCTTGATAATCCCCTTTTTCACCCTAGCAATTAAAGAAAAACAAACTAGATGTCTGAGATTTCACATAACCTTTTATACTCAATATTTTGATTGTCTTAAAACAAATCTTGAGTAGTCAGCAAGGGTTGTGTTTTGCAATACGGTGGGGTAAGGAAGATCTGTTCATCTGGTTTACCATTTTTGCCCCTGGTGTCCTCTTCTGGCATATTCACCCATCACCCCATACCCCTCACCCTGTGTTCTGGCAGGATTTGCGACATGCAAATTGCAAACTGGTAAATAGCAACTTTGCATATTTTGAATAGAAGAGAACAATGTGGTACCACTCATTCTGTTCTCAGGAAAATCTGAGATAATGGGGAGCGAGATCGAGGGCAGACTGAGGGTCCTAAGTATTTTCTTCAAAGTGTTTATTATGCTTATTAAACCTATTGTGTACTGATGAATTAATGTGAATTATTTACATAGTCAACCTTGGAGACAATAACCTGATTTAGTCACAGGATGCAAATGTTATTTCTCTTTGAAATCTAAAAACAGGTTTAAACTGGAAACATCAGGACTTCTTGCATCTTTCCCTACAAATATTGGCTACAGACCTGCAGTTGTCAGGCTAAATGACGTATGTCAGAAAGTAAGAGAATGTGGTGTTTTATTTCTTAAGAAAGTCAATAAACTCCCCTTTGCAAACATGTCCCCTGGACAGTGGGTGACTAATTTCTCAAGTAAAAAGTCTTTCTATTTTGTTTACCTGTGAATATCATGCACTGTCTGACATAAGGGCGTTTATCTGCTAAAAGTTCAGTGTATAAGGGAATGACACGGTAAAAATGGTCGGGGTTTCATTAGATAAGGAGCCTGGTGTCATTTATTGAATGGTTGGACTAGTAAGAATTCTTTCATTTTACTATTGAAGTGGTAAGAACCTGAAGTGCTGTCAAGTTAAAAGGTTCAAATTCAATTATTTTCAAGTCTACATTTCTATTGTGACTTAGGAAAAAAATTATCGACTGTTCAAATCTCTCCTACTTTGGATTATTTTTTTTTTCTTAGTGTTTGGATGTTTATGAGGCATTTTTGTGAAAGGTAAAATCTTGTGTGTTTGTAAAATTGGAAGAAGCACAAGTGATTCCGAAGGTGGAGCCTTTCGGAGGTAAAGCAAACAGCTTGCATCTTGAATATTTTATGATACCTAGGTATTAGAACCATGTTTCTGACACAGGAACATAGCAATCTAGGAACAAAAGGGAGATGAGACGAGAGAACAGACTGTGAAATTTCTTAAAAATACTAAATGATCCTCAGACCGAGCACAGGGTGGATGACGTTACTGCAGATTGTTCCTAATAAGGGCTGTAAAAGCTTAATAATTTATTGATTGGCTCTGCACTAATGATGTGCCCTTCATTATGCATGTGTAAATAAGAGGGCTGATTTATGAGGGTACAATTGTATCTTTCAGATATATTTGCCCAAGTCTACATCTTTAAAATAAATGGAGGCAATTATCTGAATTATTTCAAGGGAGGGACCCCCCATTCCCATCCCCCACCCCCGCTTTGAGGGAAGTCTGGTATGTTAGGTGAAGAGGAAAAAAAAAAGAAAAGAGAGAGCCCTAAAGGGAGTTAGGAACAAAACGAAACTTCCATCAAGAAATATCCCCTGATTCTCTTATCCTAAGAGAAGAAAAATAGATTCCCAGGTGCCACCAGGGAGCAACGTTTTACTTAAAAAAAAAAAAAAAAGAAGAAGAAGAAGAAGAAAAAAGAAAAAATTATAAGTTGTCCTGTGAAATCAACGACACATGGAGTCTGTGAAGGAAATCAGCCTTTCCTTACAAATAGGTTTAAAAAGCTCTGGAGAAGAGAGACGTGAACAGAAGCAATATTATCCACTAACAACCTAATTCCCGCTTAGACATCAGCAGAGAGATCAGCAGCATCATTGAACAGGGGTTTGTCTTAAGATAATGACTCATCTTTATTTCTTTCAGGATATAAAACTTGTATTTAAATCCATTCAGAGAAGCACTCGAGCTTTAAACATTAGAGAGCAGGGAGAGCCTATTTAATAAAACAGCATTATTTGATTTTCAAAGAATGATACTGGCAGTAGCTCTAAGTTTAAATTTTGTATTCTTTTCCTCAATTATAATTATAGATGGGTCTGAAAGGAAGCATGCTTATTACTGTCATAGTTATTCTTTTGACAGGTGTTATGGGACTGTAATTTGATGAAATGATTCAAAACGCAGATTCCTATCCAAACACAATTCTTGTCACCAACAAGAGATGTTTAGGAAAAGTCCTCCAGCAAGCCTTTCCGGAGATCTTGAACACCCCGACTATTTTAGCACAATCCATATTCAGGAATAAGGAGGAGAGCGTGCCTTTGGGGCTTATATCCGGCGTAGCACCAGCCAGAAGGCAGAGTGGGCGTTTGAGGTAACAGGTAACGGAGGCTGTTAGTCGGGACAGCTTTCCTTTTTAACTGGGTGGAGTCGGTGTAAGGAAGAGGCACCCAGTAGGACCCCGAGTCCCGCGAGCGGCCGGCAGAGGGCGCTGGGCTCGCCTTCATCGGGCAGGGGTGGTGCCGCTCCGTCCCCGGGGCGCAGGCGCACTTGTCGCCGCGGCGGCGTCCGGGGCTGGCGTCCCCCTGGAGGCGGGTGAGCCGAGCCGCGCCGCGCAGGCCGAGGCCGAGGGAGGGGGCGCAGGGGCAGCGGCGGCCAGAGCCACGGGGCGGCGGGGGCGGGCTAGGGATGTGAGGGCCTCGAGCGTCCTCAGACCTATGGAAGACCTAAGGGCGGTCCGCGCTCTTCCCCCGAAGAGCCGGGTGCACCGGAGCGCGGCGCCCGGGCCCGACGCAGGCCTGGCCGGTCGGCCCTGAGAAGCAGGGAAGGCCCGTGGCTCGAGCGAGGGACGCGGGGGGTTCGGGGCGGCCAGGGGAGCCAGCCTCCCAGAGGCTCACGGCCAGGCCGCTTTTAAAGGAGAACGTGACCCCCGCCGCCCCTCGGCCCGCGGCACGCGGCGGCCCGAGCCACCTTGACATCATGAATTATGCTGCTGCGTTTAAGAGCAGGTCCTCGTGGCCGACACCCTTTCCCTCCTAGGATTGATCCTTTTTTGTGGTTGTTTTAAAAACAGTTTTATTGAGATGTAATTTACGAAGCATACAGTTCACCCATCTAAAGTGCACAATTGTCTTTTTTTTTTTGAGACCGAGTCTTGCTGTGTCGCCCAAGCTGGAATGCAGTGGCGGGATCTCAGCTCACTGCAACCCCACCTAGTCTCCTGGGTTCAAGCGATTCTCTTGCCTCAGCCTCCCGAGTAGCTGGGATTACAGGTGCGTGCCACCAAGCCCGGCTGATTTTTGTATTTTTAGTAGAGACAGGGTTTCACCATTTTGGTCAGGCTGGTCTTGAACTCCTGACCTCGTGATCTGCCCGCCTTGGCCTCCCAAAGTTGCTGGGGTTACAGGCAATTCAGTGTCTTTTAGTGTGTTTGCAGCCATCACCATAATGTTTTAGAACATTAACCCCCAAAAGAAACATCTCCTTTAGCTGCCATTCCCCCCTCCCATCTCCTCCCATTCTCCCAGCCCTAGGCAACCACTAATGTACTTCTGTCTCTGTAGATTTGTCTATTCTGGATGTTTCATATAAATGGAATCATACATTAAGTAGCACCTTGTGACTGGCTTCGTTCACTTAGCATAATGTTGTCTGGGTTCACCTGCCGTGGGCTCATGTTTCAGACAGTTTCCTACTTGGTTTACTTTCCTCTGGTAACTTGGGAATCGCTCGACATCTATGTAACTTCTGTTACGGTTCAGGTACTAGTAACTGTGGAGGAGTGACTAATACAGTATATATATTTTTCTTATAAATTTCATTTCACAGGTGTTGAACTAATGCAGTACAGTTTCTTGTCCTCCAGAAGCTTACAGTCAGCAAGGAACAGATAGGCAAGTAAAATAGGAAAGGGTAAGATGTTCAAGGCTGGACCCAGTGGCTCAGGCCTGTAATCTCAGCATATAGGAGGCTAAGGAAGGAGGATCATTTGAGCCTAGGGTTTCGAGACCAGCCTGGGCAACTTAGTGAGACCTCGTTTCTATAAATAATTTTTAAAAATCAGCCAGATGTGGTGGCATGTGCCTGTGATCCCAGCTACTTGAGAGGCTGAGGTAGAAGAATTGCTTGAGCCCAGGAAGTGGAGACTGCAGTGATCCCTGATCATGCCACTGTACTCCAGCCTGGGTGACAGAGTGAGACCCTGTCTCAGGAAAGAAATAAAAAGATGTGGCCGGGCGCGGTGGCTCAAGCCTGTAATCCCAGCACTTTGGGAGGCCAAGGCGGGTGGATCACGAGGTCAAGAGATCGAGACCATCCTGGTCAACATGGTGAAACCCCGTCTCTACTAAAAATACAAAACATTAGCTGGGCATGGTGGCGCGTGCCTATAATCCCAGCTACTCAGGAGGTTGAGGCAGGAGAATTGCCTGAACCCAGGAGGCGGAGGTTGCGGTGAGCCGAGATCGCGCCATTGCACTCCAGCCTGGGTAACAAGAGCGAAACTCCGTCTCAAAAAAAAAAAGAAATAAAAAGATGTTCAAGCTCTTAATATGTGTCAGCCCCCTGTGCTAGGCACTTTCCATATGTTAGCTACGTTGGTCATTACAAAACCTCTGTGAGGTGGGTTTATTCTTTTTTTTTTGAGATGGAGTCTGCTCTGTTGCTCAGGCTGGAGTGCAATGACACGATCTCAGCTCACTGCAACCTCCGCCTCCTGGGTGTAAGCAGTTCGCTTGCCTCAGCCTCCTGAGTAGCTGGGATTGCAGGGACCACCACAACGCCCGGCTAACTTTTTTGTATTTTTAGTAGAGATGGGGTTTGTTCATGTTGGCCAGGCTGGTCTCGAACTCCTGACCTCAGCTGATCCACCCACCTCGGCCTCCCAAAGTGCTGGGATTACAGGCATGAGCCACCGTGCGCGGCCAACAAAACCCCTGTGAGGTGGGTTATTCTTTTCTCCAGTTTACAGTGGGGGAAGCAGAAGTCCAGAGAAGTCAACCAGGTTGCCCAGGATTACACAGCTAGTAAATGGCAGAGGTAGGCTTTTAAACTAGGGTTCTCTGTCTCTAAAACCTGCTCTATATTCTTCTGTCACGTCGATTGTAATCACAATAAGTGATTACAGAGTAGTGGGGTGACTGTAATAGAGGTGTGAACAGCATGGGATGAGAGCTTCACAGAGGTGACCTGGAACTGGATCTTTAAGGATGCAGAGGAATTCTGGAGGCAGGTCAAGAAGTCAAGGTAGGGGAAGGAAGTATTGAAAAGCACAGCTTGTTTCAGAGATGATATTAGCAGTAACAGTTAGTAGTAAACATAGTGTGTACCAGGCAGGCATCATGATTAGTAGTCTAGGAGTGTTAATTTCATCTTTACAATAGTCCTATGCAGGAAATACTATTTATTAGGTACCCCATTGACAGATAGGAAACAGACTTCAAGATAGAAGTTAAGAAACTTGTCCAGGGTCCTGGAACTAGCTAGTGATAGAACCAGGATTTGAACCCAGACTGTCTGATCCCAAAGTCCTCGAAGTTTAGTCTGTGGCTAAAATGCAGGAAGTGTGGGAAGGACAGCAGGAGGGGAGATTGATGAGAGGGATTGAAACAGATCTCAGAAGGCTATGGGTAGAGAACTCTCCACACAGGTTTTGAGGAAGGGGAGTGGCAAGGTGTGCTTTTTAGGAAGAGATCTTGGGTGGCACTATGTGGATTGGGCTGGAAGGAGGGAGAACAGCAGGTATTCGGATGGTCCCAGCCAGGTATGGGTACAAAGCTGGGAACCAACGTAGTGCCAACAGGGACAAATGGGGCAGGGAGGGGGTGAGGGGACTTGAGAGCCTTGACTGTGTCAGAGAGGGACTGGAGGAGGCAGGGATTGCTGCCCTATTGCCAGCTTGGGAGAACACAGATGTGCAAGATGGAACCCTGGAGTGGGTGGGGGTGGGAAGTAAAACCACTTCCTTCCTATTTTTCAACTTTCCCCGTCAAGAAGAGTAATTGCATATTTAAAAAATGGCCTGTGCAGGCTTAATTTAGCTTGTATAAGTGCTCAAGAGGGCATAAATTCTGGTTATATTCTGCAGTTTCATTCCTTCTTTCCTTTTTTAATAGATGACTTTTTCCCATTTATTTTAAGTTAGGGACATAGGTTAGGGGAAAGGACAGTGGGGTTGAATGGGACTGTAGGCCTGTTTGTCAGCATCTGTGCCAGTGATACCACTTGGCATCCAGGAAATTCCCTTTGTAGCTTTATTTTCTCTTTTTAAAAATTCTATCATATTCTCCTCTGGATTTGTCAAGAGCTTTGTTGTTAAGCACTTCTTTAGTTGCCTCTTTCCTTTATCTGAGTAATTGATGTCAGCCTGGTGACTCCTTCTTTCTGTTTGTTTGTTTTTTTTTTCCTTCCAATCTTTGTGCAGGGGGAAGCTGCAGATGATGTCCTTGGGCTTCAGAAAGGCATGAAGCAAGGTTTTGTAGAGAAGATTGAGGAGTACTGGATAATAGTACAGTCAAATGCTTTTATAAATGCTTGAACCTAGTCTTGCATGACCCCTGCCAGAATTCTTTGTGGGTCCTTAGCCCTGATCTGTTTTTTGTTTGTTTTTTGAGACGGAGTCTGGCTCTGTCACTCAGGCTGCAGTGCAGTGGCGCTATCTCGGCTCACTGCAACCTCTGCCTCCTGGGTTCAAGCGATTCTCCTGCCTCAGTCTCCCGAGTAGCTGGGATTATAGGTGCATGCTACCACGCCAGGCTGATTTTTCTATTTTTAGTAGAGACAGGGTTTCACCATGTTGGCCAGACTGGTCTCGAACCCCTGACCTCGTGATCTTCCCACCTCGGCCTCCCAAAGTGCTGGGATGACAGGCGTGAGCCACCGCACCTGGCCAGGCAGGTCAGTGTTTTTGTGGGTGGCTCAGACATAGCAGGTGGTTTCATGAAGCAGATAAGGCCATAGTCTTTGGAATGAAGTAGGCCTGGGTTCTGTTCCTGGCCTTGCGCTATACTAGCCTTGTTGCTTCTGGCAAATTACTTAACCTCTCAGGGCCTCAGGTTCCTCATCTGAAAAAATAGGACTAATGATGCCTACCTTAAAATATTTTTGTGAGGATTAAATGAAGTCACATGAAAAGCTCTGCAACTTGGCATGTCCTGGATGAAAGCCATCAGCTTTGCAGAAGGCTCTGGGTTGGAGAGCTAGGTACACTGGACTGTTCATCTCTGTGGTCCTAGAGCTGGGTCCAGAGTAGTACACACGCTGGATGCTCTGAATGGCACAGTGTAGTGGACTGACGCTTACAGTATATAGGGTTAGTCTCTGTCTCTTTGTACTTACCTTGTGGGTACCTGGTATGTGACCGTTTCTGTGCTTTTGTTTTGTCGAAGTGAGTTGGGTAACAGTCAGTCAGATAATAGACACTCCCCAAGGATGATGGCAGCTTGTGACTCTGGAATGATCTCATAAAATAAAATATGGGAAACAGACTTAAGAACAGCTCATGGCCAGGGCGCGGTGGCTCAAGCCTGTAATCCCAGCACTTTGGGAGGCAGAGGCGGGCGGATCACGAGGTCAAGAGATCGAGACCATCCTGGTCA